TAAAATACTAAATCAAACGTAAACGGAAAAAAAAAACTTGGCCAAGCCGAGCCATGTAGGCCAAAAAAAATGCCTTGGCTGAGTCAAGTCATAAAGCCATTTGGAATAAAGCGTAAAAAAAAAAAAAAAAAAAAGGCTTAGCCAAGCTGAGTCATATAGCCATTTGGCTCGGGAAATTATTTTTTACATCAACAACAAATTTTTGAATTGCTTAAAACGAATATTCGTAACTTAAAATACTGAATCAAAAGTAAAAAAAAAAAAAGCTTAGACAGCTTAGTCGAGTCGAGCCGAGCCAGAAATGGATTTCTGGCTTGGCTAGCGGATTTTGAAAGTTATAAAAAAAAAAAAAAAAAAAACTTAACCGACTCAACTCAGCTCGGCTTCGCGGCTTATGAATAGTACCCCCCAAACTCACTCTTTTTATTATGTAGGATACTCCAGCTCTTAGGGGTGAACATGGTTGGATTTGGGCGGTTTGAGTTATATTTTCAACTTAAACTATTTCATGCAGTGTGGAATTTTGCCAAATCAAATCAAACCATTATTTGCGGTTTGGTTCGATTTTAATCCGCAGTTTACTTGTCGACATTATAGTTATATGTTTAAAACAAGATATCATATACATTTAAACAAGAACTACTAATGTTAAATGTTAAATTACATTCATATTTTTTTAAAATTTGATATATAAACAAAACGACANTTGGTTCGGTTTTCAATTCACGGTTTACCTATCGACATTATAGATATATGTTTAAAACAAGTTATCATATACATTTAAATAAGAACTGATAATGTTAAATGTTAAATTACATTCATATTTTTTTAAATTTCTATATATAAACAAAAAGATAAAAAAAATAGTATCAAGTTAGCATTTAATAACAAGCACTCCAAATTTTACAAGCAATAATATTAGAATATCTATAAGAGTACTAACCTCTTATTTGATAAAAAATTGATCAATATCTCATGTTGTAACACATGATTCGGCATCTATATGATATGCAAATATCAAAATATTTTTTAGTTCTTATTAATGATATTAACAAGCAACTGAAAAACAATATGCATAAAATATCAAAACTGATAATGGCAAATAAATGTCACCTTCCACAGCTTTCTCAGAGTCATCCAATGTTCTACCTCATCCAAATATTGACGAAACACTATAGGTTCATTGCTGCTATG